GACAGGAGTAGAAATAAAATTTTGGTTATTTGAAAACTAAATGGGAGGAAAGTTGAGAAGGCTGCCAAAAACTTGGGATGCTTATGTTTAAAGGGGATGGAAGGGCTTTTTTCTTTTTTAAAGAATGGAAGCTGAGCGTGTTTAAATTACCATGAGATGGAATCAGTGAAGAGGTGAAATCAGAGGTGGAATCAGTGAAATTAAAAACAGACAATTGCTAGAGCTTTGTGTCCTACAGGATAGGAAGGAGGTAGGACTTAGAAAACAGGCAAAGGGATTAGCCCTAAACTGGCAATCCTGCTTCCACTTCAACTGGAGGAAAGATGGGGGCACTCGGTTACATTTATGGATAGGAGGGCAATAATTAAGGGATAGTTTCAATTTTCTCTGCGAATAGGTGAGGGTAGGAGGTCTGCTAAGATTGAATAGAGGGCTAATAGAATAAGAAGAAGACATAAAATTTTAAATAGCCACCACCATGAAAAGTGAAGGAAAAGAGCAAGGAATTTCAAGCATTGCAGGCTTATCAGTTTGGAGACAATGAATTTCTAACAGCACTAAGTGTGATTCTGTGATTTCCCTCTACGGCATTTGCCTATGCCAAAATCAAGAGACTAACAGACTCATCCAGGGTTTCTATTTTGCTGGGCACATGAATAAAAAGATAAAAGAACACAGAAGTTGAAGATATTGGCAACAGAACACTCAAATGAAAGTACAGGTGGAAAGGCTAGATAAGCGAAAGGAAAAATAACAGGGTCCTGACGGAGGAGAATAGAGTGGAAGTTCCAGCATCAAGTAAAGACGTGGTGGGAACAATGGAGTAAGCAAGTGGGGAAGACTGAAGTGTGACATCATGTATCCGACATTAGAGAAGTGCTTTTCCCCACTGATGAATGTACACGTGTCATGTCCTATATGTATGTTTGTGCATATATGCATACATTTATAAACACATTCAATTTACAACAGTACTTGAATTACAAAGTTGAATTCCTATTAGCCACAGGTTACTATACCAATTTTTAAGTGCCCTGCTTACATAGTAAGATATAAAATCTTCCAATGGTGACATATTGATTTGAATAAAGGATAAAACTAAAACTCACCGGTCTAGGTCAATCTGTTAATTTTCCAGAAAAGGAAACAGACTTCCAGAATTAATTGATTTACCCAAATTCAGTGACTTGCCATAGCAACAAAACTTTAAAAATAAGTGGAACTTGACAGATAAGTTGAGGAGCATCTGTACATTTTTCCTGTATTGAAAAACAGCTCACTCCTGAGCTTACTAAATAGAAGCATTTCACAATTATCAATTTTTCTTACATTTGTCATAAAAATTATGTTCATCATGCTTACAAATTAAATATATAATTTCTAAGTCTTTGACTGAAGACCCGAACTCATAATTCCTAGAATTGTTTCCATTTCTTTCTGTGCCAAAAGTTGTCAAGGAAAAAATGATATGCTGGATCAATATAAAAAGTACGTTTTATTTCATTTCTCCTAATTTATTTCTCTGTGGCCCCAAAAGCCTTTAGCAATTCTCAGATTCAAATTTTTTAAATATAAAAACCACCACAATTAATCTGAAAAGTTTATGAAATGCCAATATAGTCTATCCTCATTTGCAGATTCTGTATCTGCAAATTCACCTACTTGCTAAAACTTATTTGTAACCCCAAAGTCAATACTTGCAGCACTTTCTGGTCATTTGAGGACATGCACAGAGTGGCAAAAACTTGACTTTCCTGATGTACACATTCCCAGCTGAAGTCAAAACAAGGCAATACTTGGCCTCGTTTCAGCTCTCATACTGTGACCAAGCATCCTTTCCATGGTCTATGTAGTGCCACATTTTTCACATTTTTGTTGATGATTTCACTGTTTAAACTGACCTCCCCCAAAAAAGGAGGGTCCCCTCCCTCCGACCAAAAATACTGCCCCCACCCAAAGAGCTGAAGTGATGTCCAGTGTTCCACGTGCAAAAAGGCTGTGTGTGATGTGTCCCACAGAGAAAATATGTATATTAGATAAGCTTCATTAGGCATGAGTTATAGTAATGTTGGCCATGAGTCCAATGCTAATTATCAGTATCTATAATCAACAATACACTGACAGTCCACAACTTAGTGATGGCTCAACCTAAAATTTTTGGGTTTTATGATGGAGCAAAAGCAATATGCATTCAGTAGAAACCATACTTCAAGTACCCATACAGCCATTCTGTTTTTCATTTTCAGTACTGTATTAAATAGATTACATAAGATATTCTACAATTATTATAAAATAGGTTTTGTGTTAGATGATTTTTGCCCCAATTGTAAGCATGTTTAAGGTAGGCCAAGGCTAAGTTGTGATATTCAGTAGATTAGGTGTATTAAATGCATTTCTACTTATGTTATTTTTAACTTAAAATGGATTTATTGGGGCCGGGTGCAGTGGTTCACGCCTGTAATCCTAGCACTCTGGGAGGCCGAGGCAGGAGGATCATTTGAGCTCAGGAGTTCGAGATCAGCCTGAGCAAGAGCAAGACCCCATCTCTACTAAAAACAGAAAGAAATTAGCTGGACAACTAAAAATATGTAGAAAAATTAGCCGGGCATGGTGGCACATGCCTGTAGTCCCAGCTACTTGGGAGGCTGAGGCAGAAGGATTGTTTGAGCCCAGGAGTTTGAGGTTGCTGTGAGCTGTCATGACGCCACTGCACTCTTCCCAGGGCAACACTAAGACTTAGTTTTAAAAAAAAAAAAAAAAAAACGGGTTTATTAGGCGGTAACTCCATCATAAGTTGAGGAGCATCTGTATATTAAATAAGGCATTTTTAAACAGAAACATATATAAAACAGTTACGTACTGAGAGAATGAAAAAAATGTTGTGACCCAAGGCTCACAGGAACTTAACCACATATTTCCTCTAGGAGCAATGGTCCCGTATTCACTAATTCAGTGTTCACAGCAACTTTAGAGAACTGCCCCAAATAATAAGAATCAACTGTACTTTGAATGACACCTTTATGTATGTAAAATTAAGTAAAAAGACAGGGACACAGAGTTCATTTATCAAAATGAGCTACCATTTCCCAACACACAGTATTGTATGAGTATTCAATAAATAAATATGAGTGTCAAATAAATGATTCAGAAAATTAAGTGATAAAGTTCTATGGAAAAGACTCTTACAGTTTAATATTCTTCCCCAGGTGGGAGGAAAATAAAGCAGTCTTTTGCCATTATTTGGAGCACATGAAGGCAGGCATCAGAAGCTGAAGTACTAAGCCACCAGAGTCACAGAAGAAAACAATAAGTTCAAAATGGGCAGCAGGAGCCAGGTCTGGTTGAATACAAGAAACCGTATGACTGAGTCCATGTCTTGACAGGCCAGAGTTCATTTAAAGACACTAAGAGCAGGTTTGTCACCAGTGAACTGGGAAGGTAGATCTTAACAAATTGTTAAGATTTTGATTAGCCACTGTACTCATATCTTTAAATTTTAGGAGTATCACCAATCTGTTTTCATGATCTCTCTCTCTGAAAAGTTACAATAACCCAATTGTAATGGTTAATTTTATGTGTCAACTAGAGTAGGCCACAGTGTTTGGTCAAACACTATTCTAGATGTTTCTGGGAAGGCTGAAAGAGATTAACAGTTAAATCAGTAGACTTTGAGTAAAGCAGATTGCCCTCCATAGTGCAAGTGGGCCTCATCCAATCAGTTGAAGGCCTTAAAAAAAAGACTGATCTTCCCCAAAAGGGAATTCTGCCAGAATATTGCCTTCAGACTTGAATGTCAACTCTTTCATGTGTCTCCAGCCTGCTGGCCTACCCTGCAGATTTTAGACCTGTCAGCTTCCACAACCATATGAGCCAATTCCTTAAAATAAACCCATCTTTCTGTCTATACACACACACACACACCCCTATTCATTCTTTTTCTACGGAGAACCTTTACTAATACACCAATATAAATTTTGAGATATGAGAATATTAAAGTAACAAAATATAAGTCCTCTAAGACTTGTAAGCCTAATAAGGACAGGAGTCTATTTTGGCTTATTAACCTCAGACAATCCTTGGCACATCACAGAAATGCAGTATTTGTTGAATGAATATTAGCAAAGTTATACATCCTCTTAACAATAACTTCTACTTATTGACTACTCTGTTTCAGGCACTATGCTGGAAGGTGCTTTATCTTTGCTCAATGTTTTATGCCCCACAACATCCCTTAAAGACAGTAATTTTAAGTCCCCATTACAGTGATAAGGAAACCAAGGCTCAGAGTTGAACTATGCTGCCCATGGTCATGGCACAATTGGCAGAGCAAGCTAAAATTCAAGGGTGTATATGATTCTTAAAACCTGAATGATGACTAAGAGAAGCTAATAACAAAATCATGAAATTAGGACAGGTACAAATAAAATACACATATACTTACTCACCAAATCCTGGAATGCAGTCATTGAAATAGGTAAAGATAAATTAAGAAAAAGTTATACTTCTCACAGCAAATAGTAAAGTGTGGAGTGGCACTACTCATGGAACATAAAAACCATTTAGCTAAACTTATGAATATTACCTTACAGCTATATAGCTAATCTTTTAAGGTTCATGTCACTAGATACAAACATTCACTCCCATAAAATAACACTTGATGTCATTCCCTAAGTCACTAGGTCTGACCTTTCATAGCAGTTTTCAGTAAATTTTCATCAGCTTTCATGATGTTTAGAAAATAATCTGTGATCACACATAATACCAAGCATGAATAAGTGCTTCAATTTTATTTAACAATTAAGCAGAACATTTTTTTGTCTATACATCTACGTAATGCACGGTAATTAAAAAGTGCAAAATATTTACCATAAACATATGGTTATGGAACTGAATATCCACAATGGTTACATCATCAACCCAAAGAAGCACTTGTGTTCATTTACCGAAGACAGCTTCTTCTGAAAGCGTTTTGGACGTTAACAGCTGCTCGACATCTTCATTTAATCTTTTCTGAACTGGCTCAGATTGCTTAACACATAGGCACACGGTGTTAAGAAGGCCAAAAAAATCACCACAATTCCAAGAGCCATTTCCTGGAAGAGAAGATGAAAAGCGCTGTTAATGAGTATGGCTTCCTGCACCAGTGACTGGCTGCCTAACAAAAACTGCTTAAGACGTTTTGAGGAATTAGGCAGTTGTCCTGGGAACAGAGGCTTGGAGAAACTTAAAATGCAGAAATTCAATTCATGGATGACCTAACTCAATTTTTAAAGAAAACTCATTTTCCTCTGACGTTTCTCCAATTCTGACCTTTGCGCTCTGGAACCTCGATGCAGCCCAGGATTTCCACCGTTTGGGGGAGAAATGATGGTTCTTGGCAGTGAAGAGATAGGTGATAAACTACTCCTCTGAAAAAACAACGGCTCCGCACCCCTCCCCCGCTGGCTCCATGCTCATAAAGGGTAACCCCCAAAGAGGTCCCAGTTCCCGCCTCCCGCCACCGGGGCCCAACGACCTTGTCCCCACCGTGGCCCTCTCCCTGGACCCTCTCTAATGGCGGCCCCGCCACAGAAGCCCCCACGCAAGACTTGCGTCTGTCCTCTCCTTCCTCCCCACCCGTCGGGGCGCCAGGCCTCGGTCCCAGCCCCGGCGCCATCGCCCGGTGTGTGCTGCCTTGGCGCGTGGCCCCAACCCACCAAGGCAGACGCAGGCCGCTGGCGCTGGGGCTCCGAGTGGGCGAAGCGACTGCCGGACCACAGGCAAAGCAGGGCCACGCGGAGGCGGCGGATGTAGGGGCAGACCCTGGGCAGGCGATGCATGGCGAGTCCAGTGAGACAAAGCGATGTGTGACCAACTCGACAACACCAACGACGCGAGGAAAAGCGCGGCCTCGCGAGCTCCCGGGTTGCTGAGGTATCTAGTTTGCGCAGGCGCCTGAGCCACAGACGAAGCTCACTCCCCCTCACATGCTGAGCCCCGCCCTTCCCTGCCTTGCCCCTTCCGCTCAACGCTCCTGGTCCACCCGCCCCTTCCGCTCCGCACTCCCTGCTTAGCCTTATCCATTCCCTCCTACCCTTCATGCGGCTCCCTGCCCTCCTGTATTCCCTAGGCCTGGCATTCTGCCTGCTCCAAACTCCCCTGCCGGAGACCCCCTAACCCCACACTCAGTATTCCCTGATTTTCTGCTGGGTAAGTTGAGGCACTCAGCATCCCCACGCTTACTTTTTTTCTTCTACTCAGCTATACTATAATATATATAGGTTAATATATATACCTGGTTAATATACCAGGTTAATATATATACCTGTCAACATGCCACGGCTTGTTATTGGACGCGTTGTATTAGGTTAGTACAAAAGTAATTGTGGTTTTGGACCATGAATTTTAAATCATTATAACTAGGGTCAAACACATCTTTATTAATCAAAATAGGAACCATTACAATCAACACATTTTGCCAATGAGAAATAAGTTTGTTTATTACCATAGTGTAAAAATCCATGCTTTAGGATTCGGTGAACTCTTGGAAAGCATTTTCTGCATTCTGCTGGTTGTGGAAGCATTTTCCCTGCAAAAAGTTGTCGAGATTCTTAAAGAAGTGGTAGTCGGTTGGTGAGAGGTCAGGGGAATATGGTGGATGAGGCAAAACTTTGTGGCCCAATTTGTTCAACTTTTAAAGCCACAGTTGTGCGAAGTGTGATCGGGCTTTGTCGTGAAGAATTGGGCCCTTTCTGTTGACCGGTGCTGGCTGCAGGCTTTGCAGTTTTTGGTGCATCTCATCAATTTGCTGAGCATACTTCTCAAATGGAATGGTTTCTCCAGGATTCAGAAAGCTATCCTGGATGAGACTGGCAGCAGACCACCAAACAGTGATCATGACCTTTAGTTGGTGCAAGTTTGGCTTTGGGAAGTGCTTTGGAGCTTTTTCTTGGTCAAACCACTGAGCTGATCATCACAGGTTGGAGTATAAAATTCACTTTTCATCACATGTCAAGGTCCAATAGAGAAAATGGTTCTTTGTTGGGTACAAAAAGAGAAGACAAGACTGCAAAATGACAGTTTTTTTGATTTTTGGTCAGCTCATGAGGCACCCACTTATTGAACTTTTTCACCTTTCCAATTTGCTTCAAATGCCAAACGACCATAGAATGGTAGAATGGTCAACAACGTTGAGTTCTTGGGCAACTTCTCATGTAGTTGTAAGAGGATCAGCTTCAGTGATTGCTTTCAATTGGTTGTTGTCAACTTCCAATGGCCGGCCACTGTGCTCCTCATCTTCAAGGCTCTCGTCTCCTTTCCAAAACTTCTTGAATCAACACTGCACTGTATGGCCGGGCGCGGTGGCTCACACCTGTAATCCTAGCTCTCTGGGAGGCCGAGGCGGGTGGATTGTTTGAGCTCAGGAGTTCGAAACTAGCCTGAGCAAGAGCGAGACCCCGTCTCTACTAAAAATAGAAAGAAATTAATTGGACAACTAAAAGTATATAGAAAAAAATTAGCCGGGCATGGTGGCGCATGCCTGTAGTCCCAGCTACTCGGGAGGCTGAGGCAGGAGGATCGCTTGAGCCCAGGAGTTTGAGGTTGCTGTGAGCTAGGATGATGCCACGGCACTCTAGCCCAGACAACAAAGCGAGACTCTGTCTCAAAAAAAAAAAAAAAAAAGAATGTATTCCAATATCAAATGGCAAATGTCAACAATGCCAAAACCGTAATTACTTTTGCACCAACCTAATATTTTGTTCTTTAATGTGAATTAAATCATCCATAAATTGTCTATGGCTTAATTCTTAACATCAAAAAACCAAGAACAAGTATTTGTGTTCTGACATGATATAAAATATAGCATGATCAAATAATGTTTGGACCCAGTAGCGAATGTTAGGTAATTATCTGTCACCAAACTTATACCTGTTGGAGGAAAAGTAGACTATATTGTGATTTTTAAATATAATATTATAAAACACCTTTCTCCACAAAGATGATCCATTTTGTTCACACTATTTCTTTTGGGGACCTATTGCACAAGTAGCATTCTAGGATTTCTTTTGATTGTCCTATTTCCGCAACCCAATAGCTTCCTCTTTCTTAGATTCCTATTTCATTTTGCTGTAGTACATCCTTAAGCAATTCTTTCAGGAAGGGTCTATGGATGATAAATTTCCTCAGTTTTTGAAAATAAAAAAAGTCATTATTTTGCTCCCCATTTAACACATTAACTGCCACGTGAGTTGTATTTAACTTACGATAGTTTTGAGCCCAGGACCTTGTGAAGCATATGTAATTCATATGTCTCTTTACCTTTACCCTTATGAACTATTTTGAGTTGCATATAACTCATGCACAGAAAACAATAAAAAAATAACAAATTTTTCATTAACTTAGAAAGGATCATTTTGTTTTCAAAGTTTTTATTCTATTTTCATAATAAAACACCATGGTCCCAGGGAAAAATAATTTTTTTTTCTAGTGTGGCAGCCAATTTGTTAAACGCTAATTTGGGTGGTTATAAAACTCTAGGGTCAAAATCATTGTCCCTCAGAGATTAAAAAAAAGCATTGTTCCCTTGTTTTCTAGGATCTAGTGAAATGATAAGTGTAATACCAATGTAGTTTTCCTTGCTTTGATATAGTCTCTATTTTTCTTTTTGGAATATTTTAGGAGTTCCTTTTTGTCCTTTGGAATTGTGAGATTCCTCCAGGATATTGCTAGATATGGGTCTTTTTCATTCATATGGATTAATAGTGGGTAGGACTTTTCAATCTGAAGCCTTGGATCTTTAGCCCTGAGAGATCTACTCCTATCATTTATTTGCTTCTCTGTTTTCTCTGTTCTTAGTCTGAAACTCCTATTAGATAGATGTGGGCCCTTTTTGGTGGCTAATCTATGTCTTTCAACTTTTCTCTCACTTTTCATCTTTTTGTCCCTTGCTCTACATTCTGGAAGAGTTCCTTGACTTTTTCTCTTTTTCAAGAGAAATTCCTTCTCTTGAATTTTTCATTTTAGAATTATATTTTTAAAACTTACTATGTTTTGCTTTTTTTAGAGACACCTGTTAGTATTTTACAGATGCACTATCATCTCAAATTTCTCTCAGTATATTAATTTGTACTTTTTAAAATTTCTCTCTGTTCCATGAACTATCTGTGTTTCTTCTAGGGTGAACTCTGTATCTATTTGATTCTTGGCCCTGCTGGTTTTGTTCGACTATCTTAAGACCCTTGGTTGTCTCTTCATGCTTATGAATATGAGGAATCAGATGAATTACTTGGGTTCTTTTCTATTGTTGCAGCAGAGCTGACCGCGAATAGACCAAGTGGCACACAGAGATTTGGCAAAAACAGGTTTTACTTCACGCCGGCATGCAAGACTCAGAGGGGAATTTGCTCTCCCCAAATTCTGAGCACCAAAGAGCATAGCAGTTTTTTATACACTTTGCTTAAGGAGGAGGGGCACAATTACAACAGGGTTAACTTTAGTGAGGCAGAGTCCTAAGTCACTTCATGGCCTGGTACTCTAATTGCTACAGGTGATTTATGAGGGGCGGCAGCTGGGGGAAAAGTTGCAGGGGAGGAAGCCCAGGGAAAGGTTGCAAGGGAGCAAACCCGGTAGTGGAATTTTCCAATTTTCCACTTTAGTGGAATTCTCCAATTTTCCACTTCACTATTACTGTTTTAATCCCTTCAGGCTGTTGTAATAAAATACCATAGAATGGGTGGCTTATAAATAGCAGAAATTTGGCCAGGTGCAGTGACTCTTGCCTGTAATCCTAGTACTTTGGGAGGCTAAGGCAGGAGGATCACTTGAGGCCATGAGTCTGAGACCAGCCTGGGCAACATAAAAAAAAGTTTAAAAATTAAAATTTTAAAAAAAAATTTATTTCTTGCAGTTCTGGAGGCCGAGAAGTCCAAGGTCAAGATGCTGGCAGACTTAGTGTCTGGTGAGGGCCCATTTCCTGGTTCATAGAGAGCTGTCTTCTTGCTGTGTCCTCATATGGTGGAAGGGACAAGGCAGTTCTCTGGGGCCTATTTTATAAGGGCAATAATCCCATTAATGAAGGCCCCACTTCCTAATACTGTTACACTCAGAGAGTTAGGATTTCAACATATGAACTTGGAGGACACAAACATTAAGTGTATCGCAATTACCCCTCATCTCTCCCCACAATGAAAATACTGATTACTTGTTTTATGTCTATGGACTGAGTATGTCAATGGCAGGCAGGAAGGATCCTCCTTCATGCCCAGTGCCAAAGTAGGTAAGCTTCTACTCTAGGCTTTCCAACCAATGTTTTGCCACCCCAGAAAAATAACTCAGTTTCTTTAGAAGACTTTCTCTAGCTTCGGCCTAGGACAAACACTACTAAAACTTGCTCATGGTTGGGAGAGGAGAGGAGGAGCAGCTGACTCACACATCCTTTCTTT